AAAAACAAATTAACGGTATCTGAGTGGAAATGATAACTGTTATTTTCCACGCATTTAAAGAGGCGACAGAAGCAGTATTGATCTACTGATAACAAATTCATGAAAATATCGCTCTCTTAAAAGTAAGGGTAACATTTCTAATTATGAATGCAAGTGCGCTAAATCTCTCTCCATAGATGTATGTATTAATATGTTATTTAGATGCAGATGTAAATATGTATGTACATATATAGATATGTTTGATTGTTTACAATGATCAGCTGACCCCACTTGAGTGTTTTTGGTGCACAATCCCTAACATTTGTGTTGGAGTGAATCCTCTTCTTACTTTATATGTCTCACGCAGAGACCTAATTTATTTGACACTTTTCGAGTTATGAAGACTGCACTCTACAGTCATTGTAGCTCAATCGGTGACTGCGCAAGGCTTGCCTATTACTGTAAGATATGATGAACAGTATTGACAATCAAAAGTAAAACATTTTAACAATTTTTGCACCCTTCCTAAGCGTTAAGACATGTTTGCATATCCATTCATTAATACACTCACCCATTCTATGGTGAACAAATAAAACTCAGTGTCTTTCTATGCAATAGCGTGGCAGTAAAAACCGCAAAACCTCTACAACTGATGTTAACAGGTGCTTTCGACTCGCTTGACCAGCTAGCTCAGCTGGGCCAACCACGCGGCACTAGCCACTTCTCCAAACAGGCCATTTTATTGTCGCAATCGACCTTATTATTAATTTGGAAAATGTGGAATGTGTGCCTACTCGTTCATAAAAAGTTGCAAGTGTTTAACTATATTTGCTAAGTGGGTCAGTTATTCGAGTGCGAGTTTGCCAGCCAACTATTCTAATTAGAGTTTGACGCGTCGCACACGCAACTCTGGGTGTGTTCTAACACATTACATTTTGAGGCGATGAAAAATGCGATCGAAGTCTGTAATCCCTACTTTTACTTAAATGGGGTAGTTATGTCCAAATGAATGAAAAACAAAAAAAAAAAAAAAACATTTAAGCCAGCTGTGAGGTCTTAAGTTTATATGGAATTATATTTTATCGTCAGAGTTACTTTCTTGCCAATACCCACAAAACAAAAATATATTTGCAATTCAATAAGTTTTTTCCCCGAGCTTTTAATACTTGTATAGAAAACTCAAAAGCGGACAGACGGCGTTATTATGAGTATGCTTAGTTCTAACAACTAAATGATTTTTTCTCAACGAATTAAACATTGGTGATCATTTTGGCACAGCAAGTCAAAATGTAGGGTAAGTCATATCAGCTACCCAGTCACGCCACTCTTTAAAAAAAAGCGATTCGCAATCATGAATGAGCCTTGAGGACTACGAGGAAAATGGAATTAAATATGCGAGCAGAGGGTTACTATTGTCTGCAATTTTAATTGTAGCCCAGCAAGCGATTCGGTTCATGTATGGTACATACATATGTCAAGTATAGTTACATAATTTAGTCACTTTTCGCAAACACTGCGAATAATGGGAGAACAGAAGTATTTCCGTGACATTGTTATTATTTTGCGATTATTACGCAGAACAGAGGGCACAAAGTATTGATTTGAAGTTGAAGTTACTTGTGTCTTTTGTATTTAAAGCGAATTGTTGGGTGGGAAATGAAATACGGCTTAATTTGCGGTAGTGTTATATGGAAACATACCAATTTTGCGGGAGCTCACCAAAATTTTTTTTTATTTGCAAGCAAAGCAGAGAAGCCAAGGAATATTTTCATAATGCTTTGTGAATTTGAGAAGATCAGAAGTAGAAGTTTTACTTAGGAAAACGCGAATTAGTGGAGTCGATGACAACAACCATTCAACTCCAACGCCAAAATTTAAAACATCTGTTGGAGAATTACACATTTTACTGTCAACATGTAAAGAATTGTAATGACGCTGTTGGGTGATAAATAATTATCGGGTGTTGCAGCACCCTGTTTTTACTCAACCCTCTTTTAGAAGGTGGTCGAAGACTGAACACTCGTCTACAACTAAGCTAGTTGTCTTGAAAGTAACACGAATTCGCATTCTAAAAATTTTATTGGTGAGTCGTAAATCGTAAATACACTTACATACATACATAAATCCATATGTATTTAGTTATAAGAGTTAGTTATATTATTGGTGAGCAGGGTATTGGAAAGATGACAATAGATTCGCTGAACATTTAAAGCAAACATAACGTTAACTAATAAACGTAGGAGCCAAAGTCTGCAAGGTTAGCACCTACCTAATGGAGTGTGGATGCTTTGTTGCTTCTAGTATGGTACGGCACTTTATCGTATTGGTAATACAAGGACTTAGTTCATCTCAAGAAATTATCCGTAAAGCCATATGGTGAGGGAGAAATTCAAATAAAATTAGGGGTTCAAAAATGCGACAAAGATTGTTAAAAGCGCATTAATCGCATTTATGCTATAAATATTATATATAATATTTTTATACAAACTTTTGAAAGATGTAGAATCCTATTTTTTTGAAAATGTTTTGTTCGGCAATGGATATCATATTTGCCACACTTTCAATTGATGGTTAGTGTAACGTAATACTTTGAATGGAAAATTAAATTATTACTTGGTAATTGCTCATCCAAACAATTAAGAAAATATTTTGATTGTTGCGATAAATAACAATGATCAGGCATTTCGGCGATGATTGCAGAATTAGATGGTGATTTCAATAAATCCACACTTAATATGGTCACTGAGCAATATGTATACATATAAACGGTCGGAATCCATATATAGTTTTCCATACACATGTGCTGTACTGCCATAAACGAGTTCTAGGCAAGACAATTACTTTTTCGTATACATACATATTTATGTGCGTATGTCTGATACATATGTGTACATATGTACATAATCGTTGTTTTGAATTTGGTGAAAATATACATATGTAATTCATTTTGAAGGTAAATCTAACTAAGCGTCTATTTGTTTGTATAATGTGGAAATCGGTTGGAACCTTTTGAAGAGAGACTTTGGTCAATAGCTGCGCAATTTATTAATTTTTGAATTTATACATATACATATGTATATACGTACACATACACTACGTATCTGTGTATGCCCATATTTCAAATATTTATGAAATCAGACCTAATCAAATAAAATATTTATTAAATTCGAAAATTGTTTATTACCTACATACATACATAAATATGTTTAATATGAAGATTAGCTAGAATATTATATACAAAGTCACAAGAGCAGCCCAAAGCAGAACAGAGCAATATTTTCCAGATTTGGTTGAAATGGACGGTCAGAGAATGCCTAAGCGCAAGCATCCATTACCTGTTTTCATTTTTATTATGTTTTTGTAATTAAAAAAATTAAATTATTAATAATTATGGATTTAAACCCGGGGTATGATATTCTAAAATTTACCACTAAAAAGTCTGGCTTTATATTACATTATTTTAATATAAATGAGGACTAATTCTTCCTCGTCACAATTCAGTGACTCGCGATATATAATTTTCTATAAACAAGGAGATGAATAAGAGTTTCATCAGGACAAATGTACATATCGATAGTGACTTGACAGAAACCCTGGGAACTTGGTTGAGAGATTCTTATCGTCCACCATACAGCAGCCGAACATGGCACCACTTGTTGATTTCTACCCGTACATAAGTATCTTAATATTTACAAAGGAATTTACCATTGTCGCCATGATTTCATTTCATTATTTAATTATTTATTTATACTCTTCTTCTTTGTTTATCAATAATTCAGCAAAATTAAATGTAATTTTACGATATTTTAGTACAAATGCCTGTGGGCGCAAGGCCATAACTTCGAACTCGAAGTGTCAAATTCACAAATTGAAGCTAGCGAGTAGTACACAACAGCCTACAAGCCACGCAAACAATGAAAAAACTACACAATCAGGCAAAGAATGCAGCTGACAAAACAATAAGAGGACAAATTATTAGTATGTAAACGAAGATTTGCATCGTGGGTAATATGTTACAACAGTTGAAAAAAAGTGATGCTACAAAATTATTAACATATGTGGTTAGATATAAATGGAATGAATGTACATTTGTTGTTACATACGCATATACATATGTACATTAGTATAAAATTGTGAGCGTGCAGTTTAGATCATCGACACCGAGAAGTCCGCCTTAGTGTGACAAACAGTGCGGGCAGATTTGTAGCTGGGGGTGGCGTAAGGTGGGTAAATTAAACGGTCGCTTAGTTTGTCGCACATCTCATTGCTATATATAATAAATGTGAATATACTCTTGAGAGGGCCTACAAAAGCGGCTGCGGATGTGAGTTTGATCTCCGAGTATCTAACGACCCTCAAAGTAACAGTCATGAGAACGTTATTGGGTAATGTTTGTACCTTTGAAACAGGCATTGCGTTCCTATGTAATTCGTCATACATAATCGTCACCGGTACGTGCACAAGGTGACTCCGTTCCGCATTTCCCATCCAAATCTTTTGTTATATTTTTTGTAATTATATTGTATTGCAAGGAAAAAGTCAAAGTGTTAAATAAAATGAATAATCAGTGTTATTGTCATTGAAATTATGTTCCTAAGACTTTCAATTTGCTAACATATGTTAATATAGCATCATTTAAGTAAGCGCAAAATAATAAACCTACATAGTATGAATAAGATGTGTATAAGAGACAGGTGTTATTGTCATTGAAATTATGTTCCTAAGACTTTCAATTTGCTAACATATGTTAATATAGCATCATTTAAGTAAGCGCAAAATAATAAACCTACATAGTATGAATACCACTGTTCAATGACATATAAAGAAGTCAGCAATAAGCATCACATACATATGTACATAATTACGGATAAGGAGGCAATTCAATTGCAATGCTGTCTTTCAAGAACTAGTTTCTTGTTTCACTGTGTAGAGTTTACAAGTATATCTACAGGTTGTACATCAAGAAAATAGTAATAAATAATAACTGCTTTCATCATTTTCATCTCTAAGCCCATACTTACCAAGTCTACTGATAAGCCACATATATCTGCCAACCAAGTGAAGGCGCGACTGCCTTGATAGTTGTCATTATCTACAAATTTAGGAGATTCCAGCATTTCGCTGCCAGTACACGTCGACGTCACTTCTTATATAATTTTTTTTTTATTTCTAAACTATAAATTTTCATTCAACATAAACCTGTAGAAAAAATTTGGTAAACTGATTGAATTCGAAATAATCAGACAATTAATTTTTAAATCATTTATTATATCAGCATCAATATATGGCCAGGATTTAACTCGCGATCGCGGTAACAAATGTATTTATCTATACACGATTGCGTAAATTTTTACAATTTTATAAATTTTCATACAAGAAATATTTGCTGCTTTATATATTTTTTCATAAATAATTGTAGCTTCTTTTCATTTTAAAGATTTTTTTTCACCTTTTCGTGTTGCTCGAACACTTCGACACATTTGGCGCACAAACACAACCACATTGAATATATTTCATTTTATTTCGTATATTGCACAAATTTATAATTTGTTGATTTCATTCAGACATTCACAATAAAAATTAAGGAAAGTATTGCTACGATAGGGAGTGGGTGGGGAAATCAACATCTAGAACCGACTAACATTGCGCAAATATATGTATATTTACATACACTTTTAAATATCCATATATGTATGTACATATACGTTTCAAGAATTTTATATGCTGATTTGTAAGGTGTTAAAGAGTAGGGACGACTTTTTGCTACAGCACTGTCCTTAGCAGTAGGTAACTCGGCCGAGTTTCTTTTTCTCAGCTCTTTTTATTCGAAGAGAAATATATATTTATTTAGCTAAGTTTTCACCTTTTAACACAAATTTAATTTTCACACTTTATATTTGCTTTATTTCGCCTCCACGACTCAAAATAAACTAATTCTGAGATAATTTCAACAAAGCCAACGACGAATAATTGCGGCGAAAGCAAGGAATATGGAGAATGACGTAAAGAGGTGAATTTGACAACTGTCATTTCGCGTTGCCAACTTCTTTTTATGTTTTTAAACTTATAAACGAAATTAAACGCCGAAAATAGCGGTAATTTAAAAGTTTCGATCAATTCAAGTAAATTACCTTAAATTGGTACCAGCAAAATATTTAGTGTCGATTTCTTTGGTTGCTAAGTATTAAAAACAAAAAAATAACAAATAGTTAAAGACGCTTGAATATTTAAATATTAAAGTATTATAGTGATGAAATAAAATATATTCAAATAGTTACTAAATGGTTGATGACCTCACTGCAACTAAAATATTAATGTATCGAGGAAGATCGTTGTAAGTAGTACTGTTTCTATACTCAATGTATTGCTTTTATATAATTGGTATATTACCTTTAATATAGTTTTAATTTTTTTTCAACAGTACTTTGTACATACATAAGTATGTAAGTATAAAAACTTCCTTTTGGTTGTATCTTTCTTTATTAGTTTAAATTAAATACACATTTCTTTTATTCATTTTCATATATGAAAAGTATCCGATTGAAATATTGCATTTAAATTATCAAAGCAAAAATAAGACCACTTGAAATATTTTAAATAATAAATTATGTGCTTATACATAAATTTTGAAACTTAGTGCTACTACTGTTTCGGTTGAATTTGTACGATTCAAGCACGTTATGGGTTCAGATTACATCCTTGGAATATTTAAAATATTTTGTTTATTTTTTTCGGTTTACTTAATTTTAATTTTGTGAAGTTTCAACTTGAAACCCAACATTTCGCTTAATACACCTGATAGAGCGGAGAGTATAACAACTTTCACTGTGGTGAACAAATAGGGATTGGCGCTAAGCCCTGATATTTTGAAGGGTGTTTCCAATTCTTTAAGCAGATCAGCAGCCAATTTTAGTACGCTGTTGGACACCATGAGTTCGTCTTTTTTCTTAGGCTTTTGCTCAATCTGCGATGAAATCGAAAAAAAGTGAATGACAAAGTTTAGCTGACTAGATGTGTAAATACCTGTAAATATAAATTTATTTGTTCAGTTATTAGAACAGAGACGCTTCGATATTTGTGATGTATTTTGTTGCCAAGAGTCATAAATCGGACCAAAAATATGCCAATTGTTGTAGACCACATCAGCGCCTCTAAATTTAAATGGGAGTGTAAATGCACTGAGTCCTTAAGCCATTCCACACTGAGAAAGGCCAATAATAGTAAGGTGACTATGAATGCCGCTGACACAATGACGTCGACGGAACGTTGCGGCCCACGTTTCTTGAAAATAACGACATATTATATCATATATACCCATGTCTACAGCAATTATTTCATTAATATGTTTTACCTTGAGATATGAGCGTACACTAAGCCAAGTCTTGATATTTCGTACTTTATTTAACCGAAAATGTGGCAGGTTGGATTTACGTGCACGACGCGATGAAGTTAGATGTGAGAAGAGCTTAGCATAGAGGAATCTATAAATTGATTTAAAAGTTTTGGATATTATTTTGCCACATTTTGTGCAAATTCACCCACCTCTGTTTGAAAGTCCGTTCTGCCACAGCGAACACTATGAAAAGAATTGTAGTGAGACAGAGGCGTTGGAGGAAGCTTATGACCAACACTGTGCGCTCCCACTGAGTATTACCGAAGGCAAAGCCAAATATTGTCCACAAGGAAAATGCTGCTTTTTGCCATAACAGCATAGGAACTTCAAGGTAATTAATTTCATTGGCGCTGTCGATGGTTACCTAATGCAAATAAGATGTAGCACAAAAAATGAGGAACACTAAATGGCGAAAATACTTCACACAACCGACAAAAAGATGGTATTAAAGAGAGAATGAATGAGAAGCCCAGACCAATATAGATGTAGTCGTTTGTTTCCGGCATTGATTCAACCCGCTCAATAATACAGGATGAAATCTCAAGCACGGACATTTGTGCTTTTTTTATCTCGCGTTGTTCCCAAACAGTGCAACTGACTGACAGAGACATATCCAAATAAAAACAGAGTAAAAATTTATTGGTTCACGCTTGAAAGCATTCTGAACTTACTGCGATCTGACGTGCCATGTGGATTCAAAATGGTAGTGGGCATGAAATCTGCATCGTAGCCATCCTCATCTGAAAACTGATTGCTTTTATAGTTATCAGAATTCTCCAACTCTGAACTGTAACTGCATTCTTCACCTGTGAAAATTCAATAACATGAGTTTTAAGATATTTATAGGAATATTAATTAATTAATTTAATAGTATTACTGTTTGTGGTTACACCAAGCCATTCTGTAGCGGAAGTTGTACACTCGGTGTAATTAGAAGCATTGCCCAGCGAAGCAGGACTAGATATAGTCTCTCCATCGTCACCCTCTTCATCGGTGTCGCCACTGCTTACATCTGCTGCAACGGAAACATTTAGTTTCCTCGATGGCTGATAGATATCACATGAGGCGAGTGGCCGCATTTTCTCATTTAGCGGTTTCAGACGATAATAAGCGCTTGATTGTGGCTGTGTCAACATTCATAGTGAATATCAAAAAAGTTTGCAACGCTGCTTATAATAAAGAACGATAGATTGTTTGTGGTGTCTAAACTTACCTCTCCTTCATAACTGCTGGTATCTTCCAATCGTTCTATCCGGTTGGTTGCATTTAATCGCAAACGTAGTTTATTCTCTTCGGACAGCACCGGTGTTTCCGCATACGAAACCGGTAGTGCTATATTCATTTCCTCCCCACTTGAACTTTTGCCATTCAGACTCTCAAAGCCATCATCTTCACAGATTTGGCGTCGATTGTTGTTACGAAGTGCTGGTATCGCCAAGGAACCTTGGTTGGGCGCACTAGTAGACACAGACGCAGCAGCAACGCCGCTCACACTTTGGTCTTTCATATTCTCCTTTCGATGTTCGGAAACTAGGCAATCAGTGCGCCTTATGAGATCATCATAGAATTCTTGTACGCACGTATCGATGCGTACCATTTTGCTGCCGGGAGAGCAGTCAGCGCTCGAAGTAGTAGAGCTGGCGTCAGTTGCACCACTTTTAGTGCGCACTGTTCCTGTGGAGCCGCATATTGTATTCGGAGAATTAGTTTCACTGGTCGTGGTGGTGGTCGCTGCCGATACTGAAGCGGAGCCGGAGGGGGATGACAGTGATTGTGGCGAGGTTTGTTGTTGCTTCTCTTGTGTACTTACCACAGTCGGTTCGCTACTTACTATAGCGTAATTATGTATGGGCGAGTGCCAATTCACATTTCGTTTCTTATTTCCTAAACTATGACTACTCGTAGGACTATGGTTATCGGTATTGCAATCGGTGCTGGTACTGCTGAAGTCTGCAGCAGTTGTCGTCGTTTCCGTTGCGCGTTTGAGATCAAGCTTTAGTTTGGCGGGACTGGTGCAGCGACGAATGCCGGTCGTGGTAATGATGGTGTTGTTGAAGATCTCGGCGCTGCCAATGCGAGCTGGTGTTACTTTTGGTGGCACTGGTGGCCGTTTCTTTGGCATTGTGGAGTCGTTTATATCGGCAGCCCCATTGCTTGGCGCCGATTCCACGACATTAGTAGTGGCATTGTTAATTTTGGTTAGCTTCCCAGAATTTGCTTGCATTCTTTGCATGGCACATAATAAGCGTGTTTGTTGTGTACTTTGTGTAGTGGTTATCTGTTGCTGCTGCTGTTGTTGTTGTTGCTGCACTATTGCAGCCTGCTGTTGTTGTGTTGAGGCATCAACAGAATCTTGATTACGCAATCTATATGGTAAATATTTATTTTAAATAAAATATATTCATTCGTGTGTGCATATGTTTGCATGGGTTATTTACCTCACAAGTTTCTTGCGCCTGCGAACGCGATTCTCGCCACTCTGTCGGGATGGTCTGCCACTCTGGCTGGCGTTCGAACAGCGTCTATGTTTGGACTTTACACTAGTTAAAATATTAGTTGCCACAATTTGCGAGTGTATAAAACTGAGCAGCAAGCCCAGTACCATTGGTATAATCAGGTCCGATAAGGTGACAACGTGCTATTAAAAGGGAAAATAATTATGTGTCCTTGTGCTCATAAAATTTTCAGCATACGCATGTTCGTACCTCTTCTTCTACCTGTTTACTTCCATAATTTAGATCGGCCTTGGTTGCATTGCTTCTCGTCAAATTTGTGTCTATGAAAGACGAAGATGAGTTTATGTTATCGATACCACCAAATCGTTGTAAATTGAAGGTGTATATTGCCCAAGTGACCATTTGTGTGATGTACATTAATAGGAGCACGGCGAACGTGTTTGGCGATGTTTGTTTGACCCACCATCGTGAAAAGACGGGCAAGAAGAAGTACCGCAACACGGCTAAACGTATTACAGTTAGAAGAGATTGTTTTGGCTTGGCTTTTGGAAATGTGGAGCCTACTCAAAAGGAAATAAATTTTGTAAATATTAGTATTTGGAAAAATTACATATTCAGAGCAATTTTTGGCGAACCCTACCTCTAACTAAATCGACATCAATCAGGTCTGTCTTGAGCTTTGCATTTTTAAGTGTAACACTGTTAAAACCATCTAAAATTTTCTGCTCTACAGTTTTCTCCCATTGCTGCTTATCGTAGGTGCCAATCTTTTTCTGATACCTAAAATAATAGTAAGTAATCAATTAGCAAAATTCGCGAACATGGTTTATTTGGTATTTCACGTATATATGTACGTAGAAAAATATTTCGGAAGACATTGCATGAGTTTATTCTTATATTACTAAATATGTTAGAAGTGAGTGAATTAAGTTAACAGTTCATACTGAAACTTTACTTTCAGTGTTTTTCTCTAATAAAAGTAATAATAAGACTAGTCTAACTGTAATACCATTTTTGAAAAGAACTCACCACGCAACAATTTCATCCAATCTCATAGTAGTGTTTACATACGATTTGGCTCAAAAGATTTCCTAGGAAATATCTGAAAGCAAGAATTCAAAATATCAAAACACTAATGGTATCCATATATATGAACATAATAGTAGTGAAAAAAATTAATATGACAAAAAACTAGATACATGAATTTACATATTCTCCTTTTTATCTCGTTTAGTAATATCGTGATGTCACAAAAGAAACATAAATTCGCTGTGTATGCAGTTCTGTGTCACGTTGTTTGTTGCTCTGTTTTAATAAAACCGTAGACTGCAATTTATTAACCAAAAGTTTGCATACAGAACAGCGTAGAAAAAATCATCAATGGAGTTTAGTTCAAAGTTGAAATCGTTTTGCAAATTTGAAATAAAAAAAAAATACTAACATGTATGACAAAACTCTAAAATTAGATATTTAGAAAGTCAAATACTAATTTGCTGCTTTTAGGCGCAATCGAGTAATGGAATATGAACTTGTAATTAAAGAAAATGCTGTGGTTATGTGCAGGTATTTAAATACCATGCATTTGTATGTATGTATGTAGGAACCGGTACGTTGCTTAACAAAATATGAGCGTTTGTAACAATAATAATACATTTATTGTAATATTTGTGCTCGTTGTTATTTTGAAAATTTTTTGAGATTATTAAACCCCTGATATAATTTCATTTAGTTAGTAAAAGTTATACAAAAGATAATAAGTTTAAGCTTGCATCGGGAAGCTTTGTGTAAAATTCCTAAGCGTAAGCGGTTTGATAACAATAATGAAGAGTAATGAAAAATATATTAAAATTAAAATTTATGTCAGTAAAAATTTGTATAAAAAAGAAACATTCCACTTCGTTCAATTATCCCTCACACCAGCCTGAAAGGTTCCTACAAGGTTGGTTAGCATTTATGTACAAGACTACAAACATATACATTCATACATACATATATGTATATACATAGATATGTACATAACCCAAAGCATAATATGGGTGTAAATTTTAACAACAGAAACTGTGGGGCTGACAACTTTCACCTTCACTCGCGTCTTAACATCCAGAGTCTGTAAATTGCAAAATAGGCAAGCTGGCAAGACAAAATATTTACCATACATGCCAACGGTATAATAAAATCAAACTTATATAAACGATGCCAATATACAATATAAATGGTTTGAGACTTCCGCATTGTGAGATCGATGGTTGGAGGAACATGCATCCCACACATATCAATATATTTAAGAGTAAATATGTATGTTTGGCATGCAATAAAACAAGCGTGTCAACAGCTGTTTAAGACGTCGCTGAGGCTAGATCATTTTTTCTGCTTTTGGAACTTTTTGTTAGGTACCGAGTGGTTGGCCTTTTTTGTGTTATGTGAGTTCGTTTTATGCAAATTGGAATAATCACTATTTTACCAAAAGTAGTTTCAACGTCTAAGTTGGTTAGTTGAAGCGAGTTCAAGGTTATTATTATTGTTTACTAGCACATCTGCTTTCGATACTGCACTTTGTAGGTGAATCAATTACTAGCCACAAACATAAATCCTCAAATGCAATTACATCTTATTTTCACAACGTCTAACTTACCAATTTACGCATTAATTTTATTGAAATTCTGTTCACTCTATAATTCATTTATTTTTCAAACGATATTTTATTCTTTCCACGGCTCCTAATTTAGGTAATTTTTCTTAGTGTTCTTCTCATTTGATATGGCACCATAATATGTCCGTGAGACAAGCGCGTTTATTATCCAATTCACAGCAGTCGCGGAACAACAAAAACTAACTGAAAATTGTTCCTCCCTTTGATTTGGTTTCCACATCAAAATCAAATGTAAACTTTTTGTTTTCGCTGTCGTGCCTCCAGGTGAGCGTAACTCCACTCAATATCCAATAATAACAGTGCTCTCAATGTTTTATTCTTCCGGCACACATTGCTAACTCTCTCCACTTGTCAACTTGGCTGCTCACAGTGAGTCTCGGTAGTGTATGCAACGATTGTTATAGATATGTGCACATATGTATGTACTAGCAGCTACAAGCCAACGTTCTCTGCCTTTACTGGTATTCGGATAACCAAATCTTTTTAATTTTGAATTTTGTTTTTATTTCGTTCTTCTGCTGACCCAAACAAATGTCAGTTTTCTTTCTTTTGTTCGCTGTTTCACGATTTCACTTCGAACTACTTGCGATTCTTCTGTGCCCACCTCTGAAAAAGAAAAACAGTGTTGCGGTTTTTAAATACTAACACCAAGGTATGATTTTGCTGATTTTATAAATGAATGGAAAGTATACACAAAAAAATTTATGAATAATTTGTAAAAAGTAATATTTGACTGAATGATTTGAAGGAACAATGTAGTATTTACACTTGTTCATAATTCAATTATAGAAGGCTGTGCGTGCTTCTTCTTACAAAGGAAGTGTTTGTTTCTATAATATCAAAAGCACTTGTGTTTTTCTTTTTTCATGTGTTTTCTGTTTTTATTTTCACTAGTTACCACTCAAAATGCATTTTCTTTGGAGGAAATTTTTTAAGAATTAGTTTTTGAATCATAAAAATTAAACAATACAAGAAAAAACGGCAGATTTTGACATTATGAATCCAATTGCTTTTGTCAAATTTTTGTTTTTAAGCAATCGACAAGACGTTATATTATATAATTGAATCGAACACTTGTTTCATTGAACTGATTGCTGCATTGAAGGGGAGATCCGCAAAACATCCTAGGTTGTTGAAGTGTTGGCAACACTGTTTGGAACAAAATATTGATAAGGGATAACTGTCAAAATCTTCTGATAAGAGATACCAACAGCTGAGTGCACTTATTGATATTGTTAAGGGCAGGGTTTAAGGTGACGAAACTCCAATACATTAACACCGGTTAACTCATACACCCTATCAGTAAGAAAGGCATGAAGGATCTCCCTCATGATCTGTGATGCATTGAGGACTGCATAGGCCCATTCACATACATCTTTCCTAGCTTTGCTTATCAGTTCATACGGAAACAAAGAAGCGGAGAAAACAAAAGTATTGTGGTATATGAACTCTTCAGTTCAGTGTATCTCTCTATGTAATAACAATGGTGAATGTTGCTTGCCAGAGCGTAAAAAGATGAGAGTTGGCAAGGATTTTACTTGTCTTCGAGTCGAAAACTTTTTATGTGAATGTACTAGCAAAATTTTATTATACCCTGCTTGGAGTATATTTAATTTGGCACAAATTTTGTAAAATTCTGAAACATCGGAGATCATAAAGTATGCATGTATGTATATAAATGACCACCGTGACGAGCTGAGTTGATTTAGCCATGCCCGTCTGTCCGTGGGTATATACGTCAACACTACTCCCTCAGTTTTGGAGAATCGATATCGGATAATGCTGTAGTTGAACAATCAAACTCAAGTCATTATATGGAAAACTTCCTGTCTGACACGATACCTTCATGAAATTTGACTTTGACTCTTTCTAAATGTTCAGACAGGATCACTTAGCACTTAGCTGCCGTCCAAATTGACCGACTAAAATGAAAATAAAGATATTTTCATATCTTTAATACTATAAAAATAGCAATTGTGAAGGGTATTATGGCTTCAGTGTCGCCGAAGTTGACGCTCCTTTCTTAATTTTTAAAGAAAAACTATGATTTGCTTTGCTTAGTAATCGTAGGGCATGAAATTATACAAAAATTCAATCAATTTTGTGAGACATAAAAATATTGTTAAATTTCAATCTAAATTACTGATAAAAGGCTAATCAGTCTTTGCCAACCCATCGAAAATAAACACACTTTCACTTCTTATCATCCAAAAAATAGTTTATTTTATCCATTTTGTAGCAAAAAATTCATATTTATATATATATGCGAATACAAACGGCTTAAACATGTATATCTGCACACATACATGTACATATGTATATACATACGTGCAGAAATAAATAATTCGCAGAAGTTTATTTAATAAATTCAAATTCCTTTTCGACAATCGTACGGCAACGATACAATTAAGTTTCCCAATTGCCTTTACACAAATACATTTTAGATTTCGTTTGGGTTTTAGTTGCGGCGGTCTAGCTTTTGCATATTTGTGGACTTAATTTTTAATTTTTCGCTAAGAAGTATTTCTTTTGCCTCTCCGATAGTATTCCCGAAATGTACTTCAATCGATTCTTTGTAAGTATGTCTCTCTCTCTCTCTATTTTTTAATGTTTATTTGGATTCGCTTTCGGATCTATGTTTGCTAAAAATTCGTTGTAGTAGTTCTCCTTACGTCTAATTTAGACGATAGAATTGGATGATAATTCGAAAAATCTTTATTTCTTTTGTCGATGTATTTATTGAAATGTGTGTTTGAAATGTTTTCTCCAATTTATAGTTTTTTCCAGTGTATTCGTTGTTCCTCTATACGCTTTAATTAATGGTAACTATTTATTGTTTTTGGTTTTTAAATTATCACGACTGTTTTGGGTGTTGTGGCGGTGGCGGTGGCGCCGGCTTGAAGCATTGTAGCAGGAAGGCAGTGTATAATAAGAAACCAACGGCCAATGCGATTAGCGCATACATGAATATATTCAATTCTGGTTGGCGGAAGCGATTTTTGCGTAACCATTCCAAAACCTCATCTTCGGAAAGAAGATCACCTACAAAGAAATTCGAAACGCATAGTTATTTTAGATTTTCCCAAAAGAAAATTCCCCGCACTAACCTCTATAAATGCTGGGGAACCTTCTTCGGAAATACACCATAGCTGGCAGCTTTGTAACACCCCATTTCTTGGCATAACGCGAATCGGCCATCTTAACGAATGTAATGTCCAAGTTATCCGTTTCACTATCGATGTTTTCCAGTTTTTCCAGTGCGGCGATACTGTCTTGCTGATTATGTTCATCTAAAGGGTTACCTCGTATGTTGTGAAATGCTTTTCCGATATTTTGTATTAGTTAATATTACTTACAAAAGAAAACCGTTATAAATTCGTTTTCCTCGAGTAGTTTGTCTAACATTTTACGATTTACTTCCTCAATTTCATTTTTTATTTCGAAAACATCTTGTGAGGTCAACCAGGTTATAATTTTGTCGTGTTGGTGTAAATCACCGTCGTACAAAACAGGAACTTGTTTTCTGAAAAGTAAATCAGACAGTGATTGTTATTGGTAAACTGTTTGTTCACTATTTTCGCCTTATTCGGAGCAAGAACTATTTTTTAGATATTAGTTTACTCACCTAAAGTAGACCAGTGAGGGAATATTCACGACATCGTATTTCTTTGCCGCTTCAATGCTTGCAATCTTCACGAAGTCAATGCCAAACATGTCAGCTTCGCCGTCAATCTCTTCTAGTTCCTCGAGAATTTCCTCACACTCGGCACAATCTTCTTCATCTATAATGTTGAGTATAATAAAATGATTGGTTAAAGAAAATATACTCACAGACAAAGAGATATCTTGACGTTAATTATAAACATTATTACTTACAAAAGAACACTACTAATAGTGTAGACTCAGCCATTAAGCGATCTAGCATGCGTTCGTTTACTTCTTCAATTTCATCTGCCAATTCGCGGTTGTCATCATCAATTAACCATTCCAGAACGGATTGTTCATTTTGTAGATCGCCTTCAAAAAGCAGAGGATTGCCGTTTCTTTATGAAAGAAAATGCCAAATTAATATACTTTTGTCTGAAAAAATGTAGTCAGACACCAAACAAGGCGTTGATGCCTTCTAAGATAACGTAAGACCTAGCACCCGTGATATTTTCGCTTATAAGTTTGAAAGCATATTAGTTTTAGCGTTGATGCAATACTCAATAAATGTTCAGTGCTTCTTGATTTTGAATGAGTAAATGCTTCGATTCAGTTGGGGACAAGGTTTCTTTTTTAAATGGATAGGTATTTATTCAGTCGTTGAATAAGTTGCTGGTAATTTAACTCTTAGATGCACTGGCATTTTATTGAGAGCAAGAATAAAGATTTAAAAATTCCGTTTATGAAATTCCCAACACCCTTAGGCAATTCCAAATGAATCCCTTTGAAACCACTTGCATTACATCAACCAAATTTAGTAAAAAAACTTTTCAATATATTCTAATCTAACGTGCCGACGTTTCTGGGACATTTAATGGGAACACAATTGGCAATACTTTACCGGAAGTACACAAGCGCTGGGAATGTCTTTATCGAATAACGTTTTGCCAGTTGCGGATCCTGTATTTTGACCATATGGATACCAAAGACATCACATTCGTCGTCGATCAGTTCAAGGCCTTCCAAAATTTGATCGCAAATATTACAGTTGATTTTGTCTGGATAACGAAAACCAATGAACGATTTTTAGTCTTTAAACCAATAACATTTAATTAACATTTCCAACAGCTAGAATCATTATTTGTCACATATAATACAATAACAATGTGTGAATTTTGATGATATTTTAAGTTAATGTGTATTTCAAGTATGGAACGCACGAAATGTTCAAATAATTAGGCGTTAGAATTTTTTCGGATTAATTGCAATTGATATTTATCTATTGTTTGGAAGGTCAGAGAAAAGTTAAGGAAGACAAATGTGATTATTGTTATTATAGAAAATACTATATACATACAAATTTAGTATTTCGGATTTGCATACTTTTGTGTTTCTTGAAGCAAGGCAAAATTGTGTATTAAATTAGCTTAAAAATAGAAAATTGAATTAGTTGTGTTACATGGGGACAGAGAAAGAAAACGCCAAAAATTAAGGTATTCATTTCCAAACTAAATAAAATAAATTTATACACGTGTAACATATGCAATGAAAATTCTCGTATGTCTGTTTTGGGTTTCGAAAAAAAAAACCCTTAGTAATCGTATTATACAAACTTCACGCAATAACGATTTACTTTATAAATCTTTATCTTTCTTTTTTTATCTGATAAAATTCTACAACATGTCTGAAATATTGTCCTAAATTGTCAAGTTGATCCGAGTAATAGTTCGCCTCTCGACACAGCCTCGAGAACTTGTGCGCCGTCTTTAAACGCGTTTTTTCGAAACTGTGTTTTTGAAGTCGGTTGGCAAAATTTCTCGAGAACTACTCTATATGGGCTCACCGGTTTTAACATAACAGGTAAAGCCCAGCTTATCGCGACATACATATACATTTTTGTATGAAAGAATGAGTATCGGGTATTATGTGTTTGTTTTACGTCAGTTTGCTGAAAACAGAGATTTAGAATAACGCTTCTAATTATAGTTTATAATACATTTGGAATCAACCACTCGGATCAACCCAACCAATTAAAACTAAGCAGAATTTAGATACATTAT